ACTCTCAAACACATTTAAAGCATGGAAAATAGGGGAGTATGGCACAAGTTTAAGCTCTGAAATATCATACACAATGATACTAAAACATGCAAACACCTCGATATAAACATGCAATAGGCTTCAAAACTCAAAGCTAAGCATGGCTATTACACTACAAGCATGCATGGCAAGCACCAATCGACCAAGAGGCCTAAAAAAAGAGCTAAGGTAGCCCAAAATATGAACAAAACATGTTTGGAGTATGGCCAAAACATGCTAGAATGGAGGGCCAAAACACCATGCAACATAGGTTAGTAAGCATGGATTACACTACATGTATATGAAGCATTCAAGGGGCCACTAAACCAGCCAAAAACAGATTCATGGCATGCCAAAATATGACCAAATACCCACTGAAATGTGTCCAATACATGCTAGAATGAGGTGCTCCTTTGGAAGGCCATGCAAGGGGTTGTTCTACACATGCAAAAAGGACATCTAACATGGCAAAACCAACTCTGAAAAAGGGTCATGCAGGCCCTAAAACTTACTGAAAAAGGCCTGAAACATGCTCAAGAAGTGTGCAAATATAGACCCCTTTGGAAGGCCAAATATGCTAGTAAACAAGACAACAAAGGAGAGGATCACCCCTCTCCTTCTTAGGATCTCAAAACACCATCCCCACCACTGAAATCCAGAGGGATTTCAGTGGTGAGAGGGCCAATACAAGGTGGTCCCGAAACTCACAAAAAAGTCACAAAAATGAGGCCAAACAAGGCCTAAGAGGGGGTAAACAACCCCAAACACAAAAGTGATTTGAAACAAACTTTAAAAGCATGCAAAAATAGAACTTTTATCAGTTATAAGTTAAGCTCAAAACATCATGCAAGATAGGCTAAAAGTCTATGCAAAAATGGGGAATAAAGAGGGTGTTTCTCACCCTTGATGCACAGCTGTGAAACCAGCAGGTTCTTGGACCAAAAACCAGTCCCTTAGCCTCTGAAAATGGCCTCCAAGATGCTTAGGTTGATGATGGAGGTGTTAGGCTAAGAGTTGGTGTGCAAAGGGGTCAAGAACCAAACAATTTGGAGCTCAAAATAGAGAGATATAGAGAGACGTATATTGTTTGCCTTAGCAAAATTTTTGAAACCCTTACAATGGAAGAGGAGCTCTTCTTTTATAGAGGAACAAAGGTCCAAGCTTCTTGGAGAAGCTTGGAGCAAAGGGGCCAAGCTTCTCTTAGAAGCTTGTAGCAAAAGGGCCAAGCTTCTTGAGGAAATTAGAGCAAAGGGGTCAAGCTTCCTCAAGAAGTTAAGCAAAGGGTTCAAGCTTCTCTAAGAAGCCAAAACAAAAGGGTCAAGCTTCTTGGAGAAGCTAGAGCAAAAGGGTCAATGATTCTTGGAGAAGCTAAAACCAAAGGTTCAAAAGGTTTAAGCTTTCTCAAGAAGCTAAAACAAGAGTTCAAAAGGTTCAAACCTCCTCAAGAAAAGGTCTCGGCCAGAAAAAGTGGTCAATTGATCAAAACAATGGCCGGCCGACCAAAAACATTATCGACCGGCCAACACCTTTGGCCGGTAGCAAGAAAATAGGGCCGGTGGCCTTAAGCCACGGCCGGTGAGGTGTGGGGATGGCCAACAAGCCATTCCCTGCCCTCAGAGGCAAAAACTAAAGTGCTTGGTCCACAACCAAGCACAAAACAGATAAGTTAAGAGATCTTGAGGCAAGGCGCATAGCCGAGACCCCCGAGAACTCAAAACGAACACGAGCATGGATGATCATCGACTGTTCAAACGATGACGTCCAAGTCTTGAGAACGGTCAAAAATGGGGTGTCTACACATATATATCCCATGTGCCTCCTGTATACCTAACACCACTCCGAAGCCAAACTTGCAAGGGGATATCGTCCCGAGTTTGACTTACACTCCCCGGATGGTTAGCATATACATACACGCGTAAATTAAAGCACTCGTCCACTCATGAGAACGTGACAACAATATATATACACAACATCTCACTCATGAGAACAAATATAACAATGCCAAGCCTAACTATCACTAAAATAAAACAACAATCCATGGAGTCATGGTGGAGAGTAATGAATTTATCTATGGGTTCCAAATTTATTTTAATTTCATATATCCATGAATGTGATTACAACCACAAAATTAATCCATATAAAAATCCTAAACCTTGCATACACAGCTAATCAAAATAATTAAAATCAATTAATCATCTAAAAATCCTAAACCTTACATACACAACTAATCAAAATAATTAAAATCAATCAATTATTTAAAAATCCTAAACCTTACATACACAACTAATCAAAATAATTAAAATCAATTAATCATCTACATAAAAATAAAATCCAAATAAACATCAAATAAATAAATAAAAATAACGAATTAAACATAAATCAAGAGAAATGGGTTTTATACTAACAATTATTTTTTTGAAGATCAAACAAATATTTGAAGAATTAATGGAGCCACAAAAACAAAACCCTAACCCCTTTTTTTTCCCTTCTTTCCTCTTCCTTCTCACCTCTGTTTTTCACGCCACACAGGGCACTCTCTTTTCTTTGATTACTCTCTCTTCTTTGATTACTCTCTCTCTCTCTCTTTCTCTCTGCGGTCTCTCTCTGTGTTTTTTTTTCCCCTTTCTAATGGCAACCCTCTTATGATTAACCTAATTGACATTTATATTATATAATAATTTACAAATACAACATAAATGCAACACAAATAAATATAAATATCTTATATAAAATCTATATCAATAATTTCTTATATATATATATATAAAAATATAAATATAAATATTCAGATTAATTATATATAATTAATTAACACATTGAATTCACTAAATATCACATTAAATTCTCATGTAATCACACAATTAATAAAGCCAAAAAAATATGAAATAAAGTAATAATAATAATAAATGACTTAAGAAAATTAGGATCGCTACAATATATACACCTCAAAAGAATCTCGTCCCGAGATTCGATAGGAGAGACAGGGTCGCTACAATATACACACCTCAAAATAATCTCGTCTCGAGATTCGATAGGAGAGAGTACTAAGCAAAAAGTTCCGGGTGCATACGCCGAACTTTCTCTTCCAATTCCCAAGTGATATCATTCTTATCCTCGCTCTATTGCACTTTCACCAAATTCACTTTCTTGCGCCGCAACTGCTTTACATCCCGATCTAGAATAGTAACTGGTCGCACCACATACGTTAGATCGTCACTAATCTCCAACACTTCTGGTTATACTACTTGGGAAGGGTCTTGCACACACTTCCGCAATAAGAATACATGGAACATATTGTGAATCATAGCTAAAACAGGTGGTATAGCTAAAACAGGTGGTAGAGCTAATTTGTAAGCTACATTACCAATCCTTTCAGTGACCTCATATGGTCCCACAAATCTAGGTGCCAACTTTCCTTTATTTCCGAACCGTATGATACCCTTCATCGGCGAGACCTTCAAAAACACAAAATCCCTAACGTTCAACTTAATCGCCTTACGTTTTCTATCAGCGTAACTCTTCTGACGACTCTGTGTAGTCTTAATACGTTCTCGAATAATGTTCACCTTTTTCGTGGTCTCTCTCACCAACTCTAGCCCTAACAATGGCGTATCTCTTACCTCCATCCAACAAGCAGGTGATCAACATGGCCTCCTATACAAAGCCTCAAAAGTTGCCATCCCGATATTAGAGTGATAGCTATTATTATAAAAAAAATCCACCAATGGCAAGTGTTATTTCCAACTACCACCAAGATCGAGGACACAAGCTCTCAACATATCCTCCAAGATTTGATTTACCCGCTTAGTTTGCCCATCCGTTTGAAGATGATAAGTCGTGCTCAGGTCTAACCTAGCACCCAAAGCATGCTAAAAGCTTTCTTAAAACTCTGCCACAAACAACGGATCACGATCCGAAACTATAGAAACTGGTGCGCCATGAAATTGCACCACCTCCTGAATATACAACCTAACTAGTTTATCCGTAGTTCGATGAACACTGAATGGAATAAAATGAGCAGACTTGGTGAGTCGATCCATTATCACCTAAATAAATTCATTGCCTCGCTTAGAACGCGGCAATCCATCTACGAAATCCATAGAGATGTACTCTCATTTCCAAGTAGGGATCTCGAAAGGCTGTAAAAGTCCAAACGGTCGTTGATGTTCTGCCTTAACCTGTTGGCATACATAACATCGAGAAACATACTCTCCTACGTCCTTCTTCATACCTTCCCACCAAAACGTCCTCTTCAGGTTATGATACATCTTAGTCCCACCAGGGTGAATGGTATATCGAGACATATGGGTATCATCCATAATCTCTTTCCTAAATTTAACAATGTTACGTACACACAACCTGCCCTTGAATCGCAATCCCCCATCTGAGTCCACAGACCAATCAGTAGGACAATCATCGATCAAATCCATTACAAGGTCATCGAGCTTGCAGACAAAAAACCCATCTAAATTCTGCATCTGACGAACTTTACCCAGTAAAGGCGGCTTCACGGTCAAACTACCAATGTATGCCCTCTCAGCACTCTCTATTGGTTGAACATCATACATCGAAATTAACTCCAAGGACTTCCATTCCTGAATCATCAAAGAAGCTATAATCCCATGTTGTTGACTAAGTGTATCTGCAACCACATTTCCTTTCCCTGGGTAGTAAAAGATCTCGAAATCATAACTACTGATGAATTCAACCCATCTTTGTTGCCTTATGTTTAACTGTTTTTGAGAAAAAAAATATTTGAGGCTCTTGTGATCTGTGTACAACTCAAAGCACTCCCCAAACAAGTAGTGTCGCCATACTTTCAACGCAAAAACAACTGCTGCCAACTCTAAGTCATGAGTAGGGTATCATCTCTCATGAGATTTTAACTGTCGAGAAGCATAAGATACAACATTCTGATGTTCCATCAACACACATCCCAACCCAGTTCCACTAGCATCAGTAAACACTACTAACTTTTCCCCTTATACTAGTATAGTTAAGACCGGTGTTATATTCAACCGCTGCTTTAACTCCTGGAAAGCTCTCTCACAATCATCTGTCCATATGAACTTCACATTCTTGCGTGTCAACTTGGTTATGGGTGCTGCAATAGTGGAAAACTTCTCTATAAATCTCCTGTAAAAACCGGATAGTCCTAAAAAACTTCTCACATCTGTAAGGTTCGTGGGTTGTTTCCATTCTTTGATTGCAACAACTTTTTCAAGATCTACCGATATCCCCTGATTAGATACAACATGACCCCAAAATCGAACTTCTTTCTCCCAAAAATGACACTTATTGAACTTAGCGTATAATTGTTGCTCCCTCAAAGTCTGTAACACGACTTTCAAGTGTTCTCTGTGTTTTTCTTCATTCTTAGAATATACCAGAATATCATCTATGAAGATAATCACAAACTTATCTAGATACGGTTGAAAAATTCTGTTCATCAAGTCCATGAAATAAGCAAGAGCATTGGTCAAATCAAAAGGCATTACAGGTAATTCGTACAAGCCATACCGAGTCCGAAAAGTAGTAAGCGGTATACTTTCCTCTGACACACCTATCTGATGGTAACCCGTTCTGAGATCAAACTGAGAGAACATGGCTACCCCCTTTAACTGATCAAATAAGTCATCAATTCTAGGTAGCAGATACTTGTTCTTGATAGTCACTTTGTTCAGCTCTCTGTAACCTATGCACATACGGAGAGTGCCATCTTTCTTGGAAACAAAGATCGCAGGTGCTCCCTGCAGGGAGTTACTTAAACGTATGAACCCTTTCTGAAGCATCTCTTCCAACTGCTTCTTTATCTCCACAAGCTCTTTAGACGTCATTCTGTATGCCACCTTAGAAATTGGTGCAGTTCCTAGCTCTAAGTCAATGCAAAATTCTACTACCCATCGAGGTGGAGGTCCAGATATCTCCTGAAATACATCTTCAAACTCATGCACCACATCTACCTCACTAATATCCTGTTTAGGGATTTCTACTGAGCATAGAAAACTCGTCATCACCGACTCTTCTTCATCGCTAAAAGTGTGGGTAAGCCGTGGCATACCGGGAATATCTATATTTACAGTCTTTCCAGTACAATCTAGTGTCATAAAGTATTTTTGTAGCCAATCCATACCTAAAATAATTGTAACTCCTCAAACCTTAACACAATTAGGTCTGCATACAAGACTCTACCCACAAAGTCAATCTCAAAATCTTTACACATCTCATAAAGAGTAACTACCTCTCATAAAGGGGTCTCAACACGAATAGGTCTAAACAAGAGGGTAGTTACAATATGTTCTCTTTCTACAAACTGCCTAGATATAAAAGAATGAGAGGCACCAGTATAAAAAATTACTCTAATGGGTTCTTGAAAAAGATTAAAAGTACCTTGCACTTTGTCATTTCCTGACATCACTGCAAATGCCCTGGCTGGAGCTGCCTGACCCTGTCGCGCTTGTTGTCTCTGAGGACAATCCTTGATTACATATCCCAACTGCTGACACCCAAAACACTTCCTATTGATAGGTTGAGGTGCTACTGCTCTGATAGGTGGGGGTCCCTTTAACTGAGGTATGGGAGGATGATAACCCAACTGTGGCACTTGTTGCTGCTGTGCTTGATAACCTTTTGGGCGCAAACCACCCTGTCTCTGATAATAGTGCCCATGGGGCTGGAAATTGCCCCGAGGCCTGAAATTACCATGAGGTCTGAAATTTCCCTGACTACCCTGCTGCTGTGGCCTCTGAAACTGCTGACCCTTATGTTTTTGATCATAGGGTTGGTATCTGTTCCCATCCCGCTGCTGGAAGTGACTCTCTCTAGAAATCTCTCCGACCTTGGACTTCCCTTCTTTAAATTGCTTTTCATTTTCCTCATACTTCAGTGCCAAGTCAAGAACTTTGTCAAAAGGTTCAGCATCAAAGGGAATAAGGCACTTAGACAGGTAATGATTTAATCTCTTAATAAACTTCTCATTTTTTTTCTCCTGTATGTCGACCAAGTAAAGGGCATAATGAGACAACTCATTAAACTTGGTGACATACTCGATCACTGTTCTACCCTCTTGAGTCAACTTTGAAAATTCATCACTCAGTTAAGACCGAATAGCAGCAAGAACAAACTTCCGGTCAAGACGAGTCTTGAAATCTGCCCAAGCTAAAGTTGTTAAATCTAGACCTTCTTTCCACGAGTTCCACCAAAATAGGGCTGCTCCCTCAAGTTAATGTGTCGCCAACTTCTATTTTTGGACCTCGATGAGCTGCATACGACCAAATACCATCTCACATTTCTGAACCCAAGCGTCAGTTGCAACAGGTCGTCCATCTCCAGAGAATTTTTGACCTCCCAAAGAACCAAAGTCTTTGTTTCTCTTTGCAAAGGGATCTCTTTGCTGACCTTGATTATTGTTCTGCACAACCTGAAGTAACTGAGTCATCATCTCCCCCACATTAACCTATACCATATTGGTTGCCTCGGTAGCAGCCGCCGCTGCCGCCGTGTTAGCAGTTGTTTATTCCCTTGTGCCATTGGGCTCAACGCTTCTCAAATTATACATTCCGGCCATCACCTTCAAGTTAAACACACAAAAATTCGTTCATAAATACTTAGGATAAATTCAACTACCAACCTAAACCAGCTAACCCATGTTTCCACAATCCGATGATCACCTAAATTCTTACAAGTCTAGAGTAACCTAGAGCTCTGATACCAAACTGTCATGTCCCAAAATTTAGACAATTAAATATTAAATTAGGACTAAACCCTAATCAATATTCCATCATTCAAATCCTATGGGTGAAACAAGATCTAAACGTTCATATCTCCAAAGGGTTTACGTAAATTTCCATCTTCAAAAGATTACAAAGGAAAAAAAGAAAAGAAAAAACTAACAAAACGTCAACCAAACTATCCACCATAATTTCATAACTATCCAATACCTCTAACATTAAAGTAACAATAAATAGTCAAAATAACTTAAATAATGTAAGGTTACAAACCATGCCAAATTATCCAAAAACTAAAGTCATAAAAAAAATAATAAATACATAAACTAATATCAACCCTAAGCTCAAGAAAATAAAAGAAGTCTAAACAATATGTCTAACAACTATAGTTATTCCACATCACCACCGTAGCCCTAACTAATCTTGCAAAGGAAGCTCGGCTGCGCTCAAACAAAACACACCCGAGTTGCCAAGAGACAAAACAGGTCAATATACAGGTATACTAGTATGAGTACAAGATTTAACACTCACGTGTCCACCAGGCACAAACAAAAATACATTTAATTCTTATTACGGGACAAGACAAGTAGTTCCATTCGCACCAAGACGAATGGGTAGTTTCCCGAGATACGGTGGCATTTAATTTCTTGCTCGTACACAACGAAATATAAATTGAGTGTAAAATAAAAAAAAATAAAAATAAAAATATGGTGGGTCAGCCCTGCATAAAAAGTTAGTAAGACTCACTATCCTGCAAAAAAAATAAATTTAGTATAATTTAATCATAAGTAACTTACTAAAGAAGTATAAAAATGCACCGTTTCATGCTTAAATAATTCGAATTGACCAAAACTTAATGAACAAAAGTTGTACATAATCAAATTTCCTAAAAGGTGTCATGAACGAATTTAGTAGAAACTGAACAGACTGAGAGAAAAACTTAATAGAAAATCCTAAACGAAATTTGATCAAAAAATCTGGAACTGAAAATGAAAAGAAACTGCTGTAAGATGATTTTTTTTGGAAAAGTTCAAAATACAAAAAGTGTTCATAATAATGTTTTACTTCAGTTTGCGTGTAACCAATAAAAATGAGCTCATTTCGTGGGTTAAAACAGCCTCTAAAATCTGTATTACTAAAATGAATCAAAACTACAATAGCCAAGATCATCCAATTATAAGTTTTAATTGATTTTTTTCATAAAAAGTTAAAACACAAAAGTTGTGTAGAATCACGTATGCATGTCTCTACTCAAATTTCATAATTTATCGAGATCGTTTACTATTTTTCAATATGTACAAATCAATACAATTCACATTATAACAATAAACTTATAATTAAATTCTTTGTACCTTAATTTCACCACTTCGACCCTTCACTTCTGGCCTACACATATATCACATGTGCCTCTCATATACCTAACACCACTCTGAAGCCAAACTTGCACAGGGATATCGTCCCGAGTTTGACTTACACTCCCCGGATGGTTCGCATATACGTACGTGCATAAATCAAAGCACTTGTCTACTTATGAGAATGAGGCAGCAATATATATACACAACATCTCACTCATGAGAACAAATATAACAATGTCAAGCCTAAGGCATTTGAATAAATCTCATAATTCTCACTTTTTTTTTATACACTCTTACTCTCTTTCTCACTATCACTCAAATAAAACAACAATCTATGGAGTTATGGTGGAGAGTATGGAATTTATCTATGGGTTCCAAGTTTATTTTAATTTCATATATCTATGAATGTGGTTACAACCACAAAATAATTCCATATAAAAACCCTAAACCTTGCATATACAACTAATCAAAATAATTAAAATCAATCAATTATCTAAAAATCCTAAACGTTACATACACAACTAATCAAAATAATTAAAATCAATCAATCATCTACATGCAAATACAAAATCAAATAAACATCAAATAAATAAAAATAACGAATTAAATATAAATCAAGAGAAGTAGGTTTTGTATTCAAAATTATTTTTTAAAGATCAAACAAATATTTGAAGAATTAATGGAACCACCAAAATAAAACCCTAACTTTTTTTTTTTTTTGTTCTTTCCTCTTCCTTCCCACCGCTCTTTTCACGCCACACACAGTACTCTCTTTTCTTTGATTACTCTCTCTCTCTATGTGTTTTTGTTCTTTTTTATTTTTGTTTTTTGTTTTTTTTTTCTAATGGCAACCCCCTTATGATTAACCTTATTGACATTTATATTATATAATAATTTACAAATACCACCTAAATACAACACATATAAATATAAATATTCAGATTAATTATATATAATTAACTAACACATTAAATTAACTAAATATCACATTAAATTCTCATGAACCACACAATTAATAAAGCCAAAAATAAAATAAGCAATAATAATAAATAAGGGCTTACGAAAAATCAAGGTCACCACAATATACACACCTCAAAAGAATCTCGTCGCGAGATTCGATAGGAGAGAGTACTAAGCAAAAAGTTCCGGGTGCATACGCCGAACTTTCTCTTCCAATTCCCAAGTGATATCGTTCTTATTTTCGCTTACGAAAAATCAGGATCGCTACATAAGTAGTCATTTTAGTTAAACTCTTTGTCGTAATCCTAGTTCATATTGTGATGACTATAATTTAATCTCACATGTAAGTACATATCGTTAGCATATTTTTGCCAAAAATATAAATAAATAAATAAATCTCTTTTCAAGTATGAAATGAATGCAAAAAGGAATATCATAAAGATTAGAGGTGGGTGCGGGTCGGTTGTGATCATGAAATTTCCAATCCATCATCCGCCTGCTAGATTGGCAGATTGGAGAAAATTAATCTGTATCTGTTTGTTAATTCGGCGGATGCGGATTCAACGGATTGGCGGATGGATACGAATCGATTTGGCGGTTTAAAATTTTACAAATTTTCAACATAATTCAACATGCGTACTTCCTAAAAAAAAAAGAGTATTATGGTCAATGACTTGAAAAGTATTACAATCATTGCATGTTTCATCCAAAGAAAAGAAGTTTGAAACTTTAGAATATTACAATCATTGCATGCCTCATCCACATACTACAATCACGTCTCATTCGTATAAAGTATTACAATCAGTTGTTTTTAAAATATAAAAACAATTCAAACTACCAAAACTATGAACAGAACAGTAATAGAGACTGTATGCCTTTGTATTGTTACATCTATATATATTTTTGAAAATAAAAACCAACTAGCATATATCATCTTTTTTATTTATTATGTTTAGAGTTAGATTTAAAAACAAAAAAATATAGATAAATAATACATTTATTTTTTTCAATTCAAAAAATATATTCAAATTGAAATTAAATATTTTTCGAATGACAACATCATAATGCTGCTGCCTTCAATGTAATAATAAAACATCATAATGCTCTATTTTTCCTTATAAGATTAGAAAAGCAATAATAAATTAAGAAAAAACATCATAATGCTGCTGCCTTCAACTGTTCCTGAATTTTCTTGCTTCTTACTTATCAGTTTCCATAGTTCTATACAATCATGATTTCATTCCCACTAAATGGAAAAAAAAAAAAATTGTCTAGTTCAGAGGCGGCATATTTAGGGTCAACAAGTATCACAAGGATAATGAAAAAGCAATCCCAGGCATAGATTAGAGATTGAGGAGAAGGAGAGGAAAAAAGAAGAGAAAAAAAAGAAGAGAAGAAGACAAAAGAAAAAAAGAAAAGGAGAAGAGAAGAAGAGGAAGGAAGAAGATAAGAGAATAACTCACCTCACCTCCTCGATCACTGATTGCCTTTCAGTGTAGATCATAGCTTGCTGTTGGTCGGACGATGGAGAAGATTGTCGTCGTCGTCGTCGCTGTCGTCGTCGGTAGATGGGTAGGGTTTTAGGGGAAGGGAGGGAGAAAGAGAGAGAGACAGAGACAGAGAGAGAGAGTGTGTGTGTGTGTGTGTTGAGAATGGGTTGATCACCTTTCAGTGTTGTAAATCGTTGCTTGCTATTGGTCGGACGATGGAGAAGATCGCCATCGCTGTCAGTAGATGGGTAGGGTTTTGAAGGGGAGAGAGAGAGAGAAAGAGTGAAGAAAAAGGCTAAGTGTGAGATGAGATTAGAAAAGAGCTGGCTGAGGGTGAAAAAAAAGATATAATAATAAAAAAAATGGACAGTGGTGAATGGGTCGGGTTCAATAGGTAAAATGGTAGATCAACCGCCACCTAACCCGAACTTGCGAAAACACAGAATTTGGACTTGCACCTGTCCGCCACATGTCTCGCGTCCCCCAAAATGTGGTCGGGCCAAGTGGATTTGGCAAGTCGGTTTAAAGATTTTCTAGATTAAAGAAAATATTCCAAAAGCTAAATTTTACCAATAATACCACAATTACTTTGGATATTAGTACTCAAAAGAAAAATGGCTTTCTTTACCATTTTCCATATTTCACCATTTTGATTTCATGTGTTTTAACCAATTAGAGAAAGTTAAGGAAAAAAGTGAAAACCAATTTAGAAATAATTATTAAAAAATAATGATAAGGTTGAAAATTCTAAGTGATTCGTGATTTGATCAAGAATAAACTATTCCAATTCCCAATTATTCAAAACACAATCTAAATCATCAAGCACTTACGAAAGTGATTTAGATTGTTGTTTTTCCGAATAAACAATAAATTGACACAAACGATTTTTACGTGGAAAAACCACAA